AGTGATTTTTGATTTACCTCCAACAGTGAAGCATAATGTACGAAAGATTGAGAAAATTCGTGTTAGAATTATTAATCTTACTTTTTCGGTCATATTTAATAAAATATGTCTACAGGAAAGACTGCTACCAAAATATACTAATATATATATATATATATATATATGTATGTATGTATGTATGTATGTATGTATGTATGTATGTATGTATTACATACACAGAGAGCTGTACTATTTCACTTTGTACACTGTGTTAGCAACATACAATGATATTTTGTAATCGTAAGTTTTTAAAAAAGCAATTTCGTCAACTTTTCTATTGAGTAGCAATGAGAGAATTGATTTTTCAGTTTTGCATAAATAAAAGTAATATTGACAAAATTTTATAGACGGATAAAAAAACATTGCATAGGATCTTATCTTTCATGAAAGATTCTAATCTTTCATGTAAAGTTTTGGTTTTTTCTTTCACATGAAGGATCTGAACCTTTCATATATATGGATCCAAATTTCTAAAAAGAGTATCCAAGCTTCTGTAGAGGATAATTGAAATCTCTTTAAAAGGTTTCGAGCCTCATCAGACGAGTCTTCAATTTTTAATTTTTTGCGGCGGATTAAATACTTTTACTGAAGGATTCAATTATTTTACTGAAGGATTCAATTATTTTACTGGAGGATGCATTAATTTTTTGCTCCCTTAATTATAAAATTCCAATTCTATTCTCAGTGACATTAATCGCTCTTTTCGTTGAAAAGCAGCAATCTTATAAGGATAAATCCTAACCGCTTCTGATGAATCCAACACTCTTCTCAGAGGAAACGAATCCTCCTTACATTAGGATCGAATCCTCTTTTCAGGCGGATGGAATCCTCTTTAGAGGAGAATCGAATCCTCTTTACAGGAGGATCGAATCCTCTTTACAGGAGGATTGAATCCTCTTTAGAAGAGGATCGAATCCTCTTTACAGGAGGATCAAATCCTCTTTACAGGAGGATCGAATCCTCTTTACAGGAGGATCGAATCCTCTTTACAGGAGAATCGAATCCTCTTTACAGGAGGATCGAATCGTCTTTAGAGGAGAATCGAGTCCTCTTTAGAGGATCGAATCCTCTTTACAGGAGGATCGAATCCTCTTTACAGGAGGATCGAATCCTCTTTAGAGGAGGATCTGACCTCTAGAGCCTCCCCATCATCCTGCCAAGAGCTTGGCCAGGTGCTGGAATGCCTTAATATCCTCTGTGGGGAATCCCACGACTGAATACAGATCAAGCAGGGCCGATGGTGGTGGTGGTGCTGCTGCTCGGTGCGTCGGCCAAGACGTACCCTGCACGGTACTTGGGCTGAGACGTACGTACCCTACGCGGTACGTTGTTTGAGACGTATTCTGGAAGCCAAGGCGTCCTACTCGACGTTTTGCGATCTATTTTGCGTTCTTAGATTTCCTATTTTTTACCAAAATTGTGCAAGATTGACTTTATTTTTTTAGTACTTATCTATCTATATATATATATATATATATATATATATATATATATATATATATATATATATATATATATATATATATATATATATATTTGTTAACTGCCTGACGCTTAAAGTTTAGCTATCGTAAACCGGAGGGGACTAAGCTATCGGGATGCTGACGCCATAGCTTTCGTATTGTGTGTGTACATTGTTTATTAAAATTATCAACAAGTCCCATAATATAATTACGCCGCTATCGCGATTATAGCACTAATGGGTTTAATAATTGAGTTTACTTGCTTATGTTATCGCTATAGGAAGAGTCATCGTTATCGACAGTTATCTTAGAGCAAGAAGCAACACATGGTGTACTCTAGCAAGGTTATCACCACCTGGGGTTTAGTTCCTTTACTCATAAATAGAGTTAATGAGTTCTTAGGTTACTTAAATGTACTCTACGACCGGTCAATTAACTCAAGTTATCGTACTGACGTGCTTAGAGGCTGCTGCAGTGTTTCCTGGCGTACGATCAATAACAGCAGTGGAGACCATTCTTGGGAGATGTGAGATAATTGATCTTACAATTATTTCAATAATTTGTCTTTTCTGCTGCGATAATATCAGACTTCTCATGGAATAAAATATTTTACGTCCATATTTTGTTCAGTTGTGAGCAACTGGAAGTGTTTATATATATATATATATATATATATATATATATATATATATATATATATATATATATATATATATATATATATATATATTTAAATATGACCGAAAAAGTAAGATTAATAATTCTAACACGAATTTTCTCTATGTTTCTTATATTTCTTTTCACTGTTGATGGTAACTGAAAAATCAATTCACCAAAATTCATTTATATATATATAAAGCTTGTCAGATACTTCGCTAGATACAAAGTAATCCGGATGGAGCATCGAATATCCGGATTAGTGTAAAATCGAGTTTAGTCCAATGCTGGGGTGCTCGCAAGTGTCGATTAAAAGTGTGATTTTATTCGCGAAATTGATATCCGGATTCTTGGAGGGAGAAGCAGAGAACAGAGGTGGAGGAAAGGGGAGGAGAGGACAGGAAGAGTGAGAAGGAAGAGGGGAAGAAGTGAGAGAAAGTACAAAAAATGAGAGTGTGTAGGTGATTAGGAAAGGAAAGAGAGAGAGAGAGGATAGGAAAGTGAAAAGGAGTAAGAGAGAGAGGGGAAGTGGAGAATGAGAGAGTTTGGAAGCGTAGAGGGATATGAATAAGACGAATGGAAGAGTAAAAATGGAGAAAGTAAAAATGAAGAGAGAGTGTAAAGGGAGAGAAAATTAGAGGATGAGCAAATTAGGGAAAGTGGGAGACATTTAAGACACTAATGAACCCTTAAGACGCAGATAAGGAGGCGGCAAGGATAATAAAGGTGACATAAGGAAGAGGCAGAAATGGACTTTTGTATAATGTGTGATGATGACTGCTCTTTATTTGACCTTTGCAGCATCATCATTATCATCATCTCTCTCTCTCTCTCTTTCTTTGTAAGATGGTATTTTTTTGTGTGCTTCTGCTCCTTTCCATTTCACCTATTTGTTATTCCTCAGACTGTTGCTACTGTTGCTTTCCCCTTCTGCTTTCCTCCAATACATTCGGCTTCTCCTCCACATTCCTCACCTCATCCACCTACTTCCCCATCTCTTTCTCCTCCACGTTCTTCTCCATCTCTTTCTCCTCCATCTATTTCTTCGCCGCTGCTTCTCCACCTCGTCATCCTGCTCTCCTCCCGACCGTAAAGAAGCAGATACTCTGCATAATGGTGGAGAGAGAAGCAGACATGACGGGGGTGAGAAGTAGAGCCCCACACACCAGCTGGCGACGAATCTCCCCGATACTCCCTTCCCATCGGCCCGGTTTCTGGACTCAGAAGGGAGGGAATAGGACAGGCAAACAGAGATCTACGCGGAGGACAGGCGTGGTGGGGCCAAAGTTGCTATTTTCTCTCTCTCTCTCTCTTTTGGGGTTTACTCTTCCCCCTCCCCGTCTCTCCCCTTCTGCCATTCCTTCTCGCCCGTCTCTCCCTCTTCCGTGTCGTGTGTGTGCGCGTGTTGGTCACGACAAGGACGGAGGCAGATGGTCGTGGCGGCACGGAGTGTTGTGTGTGTGTGTGTTGGTATGCCTGCTTCCCGGGCTGTATATACCTTGTCCTGACACCCTTCCCTGCTTCTATTCTTTTCCTGCTGACTTGGTTATATTGCCTCGAAGCTCACCTGCTTACGGACCGCTGCTTTTTTGGGGGGGCCTACCTGCTTTCCTGCCTTGTAATCCAGTATACTGTCTGCCTGTCTGTCTACCTGCACAGTCCTCTACTGTCTACCTGCCTGAATACTCATGTTTGACTACCCTCTGGCCTATCTTTCTGTCTACCTGCCTGTCTGGTTGGTGTGATTCCCCGTGGTGCGTCCCTGTCTAGCAGCTTGACTTAATTTGGCTTTCTTCCTGCTTGGCTGTCTGCGTGTTGTTTCCGTGATCAATAGACTAACATGCCGGCGAGCGGCCATTGGTCACCACCCTGTACGTTCGTCAGGCTCCAAACCTACGTTCGTCAGGCTCCAAACCTACGTTCGTCAGGCTCCAAACCTACGCTCGTCAGGCTCCAAACCTACGTTAGTCAGGCTCCAAAGCTACGTTCGTCAGGCTCCAAACCTACGTTCGTCAGGCTCCAAACCTACGCTTGTCAGGCTCCAAACCTACGCTTGTCAGGCTCCAAACCTACGCTTGTCAGGCTCCAAACTTACGTTCGTCAGGCTCCAAACCTACGCTTATCAGGCTTCAAACCTACGCTTGTCAGGCTCCAAACCTACGCTTGTCAGGCTCCAAACCTACGTTCGTCAGGCTCCAAACCTACGCTCGTGGGGGCTGAGGCTTCAAGTCGAGGGGGGGGGGCAGAGTGCTGACACTCTTGGATCTTCAAGAACGTGGCATAATGACTTGTGGATGGAGGGGAATGGAGAGGTTGACAAGGTAATAGGGAAAGTCTTAGGGGGTGAGGAGTCATTTTAGGACCCTTAGAGAGAGAGAGAGAGAGAGAGAGAGAGAGAGAGAGAGAGAGAGAGAGAGAGAGAGAGAGAGAGAGAGAGAGAGAGAGAGATGAGATAAGATAACAACTTTAAGCTTGAGAAAAGACTGTAGAAATGTTAATGGTAATCCCGTAGAGCCCAAAGTCTTAGATAAAGAATAAAATGTATAGTATAGCAGGGAGGGAGAGTCAACGGGATGGAAGGGAGGGACGGAGGGACGGAGGGAGGAAGAGAATGAAGGAAAGCAAGGAGGAGAGGGATGGTAAGGGAGGAAGGATGATACACACCCGAGGAAATTGAGACAATAGCAGCAGCAAGGAAGCAATTATAAAAATACAATGCCAAGCCCAGTAAGCCATATAGCACCGGTAGGCTATATATATATATAGCACCGGTAGGCTATAAATATAGCACCAGTAGACTATATATAGCACCGGTAGACTATATTCACATGAAGATGGTAGATGGTAAGAGGTAATTATTATCAAACTATCCATCCAAACACAACCAATTACGCGAACACACATTTGAAGTCCCCTAACCAGGCCAAGAATCCCACAAATGAATCTAAGAATCCCACTAAGGGGTCTAAGAATCCCACTAAGGACTCTAAGAATCCCACTAAGGGGTCTAAGAATCCCACTAAGGACTCTAAGAATCCCACTAAGGACTCTAAGAATCCCACAGCCAATCCCAGGAGTCCCAGTAACCTAAGTTTCTCTTTCTTTCCAGTCACCTGGGGCGTCGACCTCCATTTCCAGAATCCGGACAGCGGTTTCTTCCTGCGGCCGGAAGACACCATCTTTTCCGGCCTGGGTCCGGGCGTGGGCAGCGACGGCGGAGTTTTGGACGTGGAGCGCTTCACCGTGCTGGACCCGACACGGCCGGCGCTCATCCGTGCTACGTACGGCCCCTTCAGCACCAAGCAGACCGTGCCGGCCCGCTACGTGCTGCCAGAGTTTCCGGACGACGAACCTAGCAACGTGACGGAGCCGGATGTGATGGGCCAGCACTTGCCGCCCGTGCCGCACCAGTTGGAGGTGTCGGCCCATCTGGTCAACAAGGAGGTGACACGTGCCCACCCGGCCGTGCGCGTGCTGGTGCACGGCGCCGGCGCCAGGGGTCACCACTCCCCGCACGTCTGTGTCACGGTCATTGCACGCCGGTCGTCCGACGCCCTGTCGGCGTCGTGCACGCCCACGGGCGCCGGGGAGACGGGTGGGGACGCCACGTGCCTGGTGACCCTGGCCATACCCGCACGTTGGTGGCCGCCGCACACACGTGCAACCGTCAAGATACCCCGCGTGGCCGTGCAGGTGTCGTACCTGGTGGGCACGGCCCCGGGCCCCAGCGAGTGTGCCTCCAGGGACGCCGGGGGCCCTCTTCAGGGAGGTCCCAGGGTGACAGTCCAACCTGAGACCCCTGTTGGCGAGGTGGTGTTGACCCTCGACCCCCATGGGTACGACGAGCTGTCGTCTGACCCCCTGGTGCACGTGCTGGTGCCACGTGCACCGCTCCATCCTGGCACGACCATCCACGCCCCTCTCTATCTCCACCCGCCTGGCAACCTGCCCGCCCTCGTCCTCGTCCTCAGGTAAGTCACACTCGTTAATCGTCCTCAGGTGAGTAGGATTGAGTCTATTTAACGGGTAGTTTTATTGTCATTTCTGTTGATCGTTATCTGTGACTTGCCCTCGGTGCTTCAGTCCTCGAAACTAACCGGTAGTACAAGCGTTCGGAGTTCGAAGAAATCTACAGCCTCAAGGAAGCAGTGAAGGAGATAGTGTTCGATTGTTTCAGGCACCTTGACAGTGGATGCAGAGTTCGTTGATGTACTTAGAGCTGTGTGCTGCCAGTTCGCTGTGTCCCAGCCTTAATCTCAATCTTAATCTTAATCTTAATCAATCTAATCTTAATCTTAAGCTCATCGTGACATCAATTTCTCTGCTTTTATATCTGACTTGGTTCCAAGTTTCCCATTTCTTTTTAATGGACCCAGAGTACAAAGGTGAGGATGATGTTTTCATTTCGGTACAAAATCTTGGGTGATGGTATGTTTGAAGGCTCCTTTATGTGCAACATGGGGAGTTGCATGATGGGTAATGTAAGACGTGTTGTGCATCGCTTTGGCTAGTTGATCTACTAGTTCATTATGGAGAATACCACAATGTTCTGGGACCCATTGGATAGAGGTATCATAACCGTTCAATCGATGTTCATGAAGAAGTTAGAGACATGGGTAAACAAACTCTTTGCACGTTGTTGAAGAGTATGTAATTGCTTGAATCGCACTCTTGGAGTCATTACAGATTGTATATGTCCCGATTGGTCATGTTGTGATTATTTGGAGAGCTTGATATAAGGCATATAATTCAGTGGTGGAAATAGATAGTTGGTTTGGTAACCGCCATCCCTGCTTGAGATGGTATTCCAGTATCCATACAGCGCTAGTGACCGAGGGAACGTTGTTCTTGATGATGCGAGATCCATCTGTGTAATGATAGTGGTATTTGGGTAGCAGTTTTTCATTGTTGAGACAAAGATTGAAGCGATGATTGAATTTGGTCCAGACTTTAGAATATTCTCTTCCAGTTGTATTGGTGTTTTAAGAGTTGTATAAAGCCAAGGTGGAATTAGGGGGGGGGGGGGGGTTACATCTAGAAGCCTTTATCTGCGTTAGGATATTATTATTCTTAGTATTCCTTAATAATAATTTCTCAAGTGCTGTTTATTGATCCAATCATCTTAACGATCACACGGAAACAAAGTCAATCTCATTGGATTATCTCGTCTGATCTTGTAAACAATTGCTGATAAGATATGTTTCAGTAACGTTCGATTGCTAATAATTGTCTTATTTGCTGTTTAAATACTGAATTTCACTCTTAACCCCACACACAGTGTATAAAATTGTATACACAGCAAAATTATCTAGACAGCTTCAAAATACATTTCACTTATACAACACAAGGTTTGTATTTTGTGACTGGCATCACGTAGAAGCGAGGGATATGCAGCTTATACACGAAGAGAAGATGTGCAGGTTGCAGAGAGCAGGAGATATGGATAGATAACAATTATGGAGATAGATAGCGATAGGAAATTATGAAGATAGCGACAGACGAGAGGATGAGATGTATCTTAGCAGCAGGAGGCTGATGCTTCAAGCTTAGATATGATGTGAACTGGATGCTGCCAGTTTAATGCCTGACCTCACAGTGGCTGAATTAACCTCATATAGATCTCTGACTTGATGAGTTTGACCGAATGCAGATTCGGTCTAGATAATATATTATATATATATATATATATATATTATATATATATATAATATATATATATATATATATATAATTGGTTGAGTTATCCTTATATGGGTCGTTAGGGGGCACAGGAAGCAGTGCACTGAGTATATATATCTCTCCAGTTGACTCAGTTAATCTGAGACCAGATCTTGGCTTGGCTGAGAGAGACCGAGTCAGAGTCTGGGATTGGCTGAGGTGGCGCCTCATATACGGTACAGTTTGGCTGCCTCTAGCCACCTTCACTTCTCTCTTATACGTCCTCTCCTCTGCTCACTCCAAGCCATTTGGGGGACTTGAGAATGGTCCTGGACCATTCTCATCGGCTTGAGAATGGTCCAGGACGGACCGAAACGTCGTCGTCCCTTCAACTTCTAGTGTGTGGTCTGGTCAACATTTTTGGGGGATTTTGTGACGTAGACTGCAAGTTCGAGAATATCTCGAACCTGCAGCTCTCTCTCTCTCTCTCTCTCTCTCTCTCTCTCTCTCTCTCTCTCTCTCTCTCTCTCTCTCTCTCTCTCTCTCTCTCTCTCTCTCTCTCAGATGGGTCAGTAACGGCTCATCTCTCCGCCCTCCTCCTGTGCTTTGAAATTTACATTGGCTAATCTCGTATGTTTCACATTATTTGCAGTTCAACTTTAGGGGGTCCTCGGAACTCTGTATGTATGTGTTTGTGTGGCTGTGGGAGTGGGTGGTGTGTGGGTGTGTGTGTGTGTGTGGGTGTGTGTGTGTGTGTGTGTTGTGTGTGTGTGTGTGTGTGTGGTGTGTGTGGGTGTGTGTGGTGTGTGTGTGTGTGTGTGTGTGTGTGTGTGTGTTGTGTGTGTGTGTGGGGTGTGTTGTGTGTGTGTGTGTGTTGTGTGTGGTGTGTGTGTGGTGTGTGTGTGTGTGTGTGTGTGTGGGTGTGTGTGTGTGGGAAGGGGCGGGTAGTTATGCTTGTATATGTGACATGTTTTAATATAGTCAAAACATCCATTAGAAGACATGGAATAAAAGCCCTTCAGTTGTAAATCATTCCAAATGTACCCAACAATTTAAATAAGCTCGGCCTGTTTTTTTTCTCCACCTCTTGACAGAAAACGGGAAGCCCCAAATTCTCCTTTTTCATTTTTGTCGCATTTTTTTTTGGG